CGTCAAGGCAAAGCTAAGTTAGTTCTTATTGCTAGCAATACTCCTGCCTTAAGGTGAGATAATAGCTTCAAAATACCTGCAACGGCAGAGCATTTTGAATATTCAACTTACAGTTAGAAATATGTTGGAACCATATGGAGTCTTGTTAGACTGAGAAGTATGTTTCCATGTATAATAAAGTTTGTGTTAAATGACATTATTGAAAGATTCAAAATTGAAATATGCTAAACATGAAACTACGTGCAAGATATCCACATGGTTCCAGCAGATGTTGAAATGTAAGTTATAACTTTTTAAAATACGCTTGCTTGCTATATATAGTTAATATTATGATGATATATTTTAATCAGATTTTTGATGCTGATACCCATTATATACTAGAGACTCTTTCTGATCAATTAATTTAAATATTTCTATGATAAATTATATAATTGTCTATTAACATGTTTTAATAATTTGTTTTTTTTTATTGGTTATAGGAAGTCTGAAATTGAGTACTACGCTATGTTGGCAAAGACAGAGGTTCAGCACTACAGTGGTACCAATATTGAATTAGGTACAGCCTGCGGTAAATATTTCCGTGTATGCACAATGTCTATTACGGATCCTGGTGATGCAGATATCCTTCGTTCGATTCAAGATAATTAAAAAGTTGCTGTTAAAGTAAAACTTTTTTAATAAAAGAAAGGAGTTTTATAAGAAAAAAATTTCGTAGTTATTATTTTCTAATTAACTTGAGATAATTAGCGTGATTAAGAATGGTTGTTTAATATTATGTACAGCACTGATTTATGTTAACATAAATCTATGTGAAACGGAATATAATTCCGCTCATAACTTTATAACTGATCGGTTTAGGAGTAGGAACACATATAACCTAGCTATAAAAGTAATAATCGGAAACTGTAGTTTTAGAAAAATGCTATGAAAGATCAATGAGCATTTATCTTAAATCAAGAATTATAACAATTAAAGTTTTTAAATATAACTATAGATTTTAAGAAATAATATACATTCAGCTGTACATATAATGCAGTTTTTTTTATCGATATTGTGACCAAAGGATAGGACAGGAATTTAATGATTGAAGTATGAAAAAATTAAGCTTAAATTGGAATAGAATTCGGCGTCTTCCTATTTTTATAAAATAATTGGTTCTCTTTATTATGATATATTATTTCGGAACATATATCATATATCATAATATAAAATATAAAATAATTGGTTCTCTTTATTATGATATATTATTTCGGAACAACTATTTATTAGAAGTTATGTTCACAGTTAATAAAATATTTGTATTCAATAGTTTATATGCAGAAGGCAAGTAATTAATAACTGTAATTCAACGTTCGTTCGGCGTGGATAGGGTGTTTAGCTTATCCAAAGCATTGTAGAAAACGTACGTACATAACGAATGAGACCATGATTTTTTTCTAGATTTTTAGTGACACGATATATAAGAAGCTAAGTTTTTAACTCATCAAAAACATTGTCAACATATTTTTTTGCATATTTAAATTAAATCAAAGAGGATAAATAAATAATTATTAAATTTTAACCTGATATTTTAATAGCGTTTGTTTTATTCATAAATAATCTATTACAATCAAAGCACAACTTCATTAAGAATGCGACTTTGATCAATAACAGTAGGTGGCGCTCGATGTTGACGATTTTCAGCCCATTCTTTTGGATGCATTTTTTTACGGTGATGATGCATATTCGAGCTGACTTTGAAAGTTTTTGGGCAATGGGGACATTGATATAAATCTTGACCAGTGTGTGTTGACATATGCTCCTATTTAAGATATAAAAACCAATTACAAATACTCGACACTTAAACTATATATCCTACCTTAAGCACTCCGGATACCTTAAAGGCTTTATCACAAATATTGCATTTAAATTTACGTTCACTTTCGTGCACATATTTTTTATGAGCTCGAAGTGCCTCTTTGTTTAACGAAACTTTTCCACATTCAGCGCATATATATGCAGTGGAACCATCATGATGTGCCACACGTATATGTCTACCTAAACTGAATTTTGTGCTCAAGACAGCATTGCACTGATTGCATTGCCACTTCAGCTTGGCGCCACTGCTTTCATCATGTTTTGACATATGATTTTTTAAGGCATATTGATGACGAAACCATTTGCCACAAATTTCACAAACGCAGTTGTTTTTAGTGTGCACGTTACGTATGTGAATTCTCAGCTTCGATTCCAAAACGAAACTAAAATTATAAAAATACTTTAATTATAGAATATTAAATAATTAATGAAAAAACTAACCCTTTATTGCAATAAGAACAAACGAAGTCTTTGTTTCCTGTGGCGTGTATACTTGCATGTTCGCGTAGGATCGCTAATTTTGCGAAGAATTTGTGACAAACATTGCACTCGAATTTACGATCCGTGTTATCTGTGGAATGTTTGTTTTTTATGTGATTTACAAGGCTACGACGATTTATGCAACATCTCTCACATTTAGGGCATTTAAAGTATTTAGGATCTAAGTGCACCTGTAAGTGGTCGACTAGATGAAAACGATGATAATATTTTTGTTGACAACACGTCACATAAGCCTTTTCGTCGCTGTGTTGTTCACGAAAGTGCGCTCTTATATCCCTAAAGGTTTTACACGCAGTTTGACATATTTCACATTGTAATTCCAATTTCCAGGAAGTAATAAATGCATCTTCATCTAAAGTAATTTTTCGTTTTAATTTTATGCTTTTATCTTTTGTTGTTAACTTTTTAATGGCATCAGAGACTTTGGCGTCTGTATTTTGATGTGTTTTAGTATTTTTTGTTTTCTTCTTAAGACTGGAGATTTTGTTAGATTGCTTGGATAAATTTTGTACTCTACTTGATTTTTTTATTTTATTTTCAATGACCGATTTTTCAGTGTCCAAAATATTTATTTGATTTTCTAATACATTATCGTGGTTAGAATTTTCATAGTTTTCCACTTTCATTTGTTGTTGTTCAGTTGGAATATTTTGGTCATTATCGTACGGAATTTCATCTGGATCACTTTTAACATTTACTTCATAACTATTAAATACAGAAACAAAGGGAAAAACCACTTCCTCCTGCTCAAATCCTTTAGTGATCTGAGTCTTGCACTTTTCCTCATGGCATTTCCTCACATTTTCTTGAAAGCTATTAAAGTCCGTTATATGTAACCAACAATATTCGCAAATTACATTGGAAGACGTATTGGTATCATTTATAAGCTAAGTAAATAATAATAAATTATAGTAAGTGTTTTATATCTTATTAGAAACAGTATTATATACCTCAGCTTCAAAATATTGTATTGTTAATTTGTAAACAGCTTCAGTTGTTAAATTTTCAAATTTATTACAATTATTCATACACAAATTGCAAATCATAGTTAATTACTAAATCTATATTGAATTAACAATAACAATTGAATTGACAATAACAAATGAATTAAAAGCAATTATGAGGATATAAAATGATTATTTACGTTTGGTGAAATAAATAGAGCAAAAAATTCTCTTATACTGAAACCAAAGAACAATAATAGATGAGACTTTGGCAAATTTTACGAATTTAACGTAGCGTTTGAAAATTTTGAATATATTTCCAAAATTTATTCATAATAGACCTTTTTTGTATTTTTGACAGCCTTGCGTTATGACGGTCATATCGGTTGAGCGACTTCAAACTCAGCAGGCGAAGGTTTCGATGCATCATTGATACTTTAGAATCAACCATCGATGCCACTACGATACCAAGTAAATGCATTTTTGTCCATAGTCATACTCAAACGCAGCATTGCGGTGATGGTTTTTTGATGTAAAAGAAGGTGTGGGGAATCCATATAATGGTGTGGTGAATTTAATAAAATTTTGTTGGGGAATCGTTATCGCTTTATATATGTGAAGAATATATGTATATATATTTTATTATTATATTAATTTTAAAATAATACTTCAGTTAATATTATATGTATGAAAAATAAGTACAAAGAATTTATATATAAAAAACACACGAAATCTTTATAAAATATTGAGGTATAAAGCATAAAGTAATAAATTTCGCATATTGATTCCTCAAAGCTGCTTAAAGTATCAATAAAGCATCGATGCCATTGTGATTCCTTTGATATCGATGCCACTATAAACTCCTGTGAAGTTATTGAAACCAGTAGTGTTCTTAAAATCAGCGGTTATATTTTGAAATATTCTTATTAGGAATTCTCCTGATGTAGGTAAAGGTGATGTGCCAAAATACGTACAGAAATACACTAAAAATAACGATCATAATTAAAAAAAATTATTAAAAAAACAAACCGCATTTTAAATTCTTACAACAATTGACCACTATTGAACATCGGTCTGCAGACATGTATGCGGTGAAATTGCACTTTATTTTCAAAGTGTATAGGAAAGCGCATACTGGGTCTGAATACGTGATGTGTATACATGTAGAATCGTCCTTATCATGCTTGAAAGAGATCCGCTAATTGTAAAATATAAGCTGAGCTATATATGGTATGTATAACAAATTTATACCGGCATATTTACAGATAATTCTTATAGTATGGTAACCCTGAATTGCTTTCAAAATAATTTTTATTATTAAAATTTTATTTGAAAGGATTATATAGACGTTTGATAAAGGAATGGAGGACAGTGGTTTCTTGCGTGGTTACACAATACCCACAATACAAAGGAGAAATGCAAATGGTACTACCCACATGGCACCAAGCACGCATTATAGCGATTACAACGGGGATTATATTTCTGCACAAGTCGCTGTACGTAAATTGATTTTTTTGAAATCCACAAAATGTAAATATAATATCTTAAACTTGTATACGTTTTACGGAATATATGTTATATTGATTAATTAAATTAATAAGTTTCTGTGTAATTAAGTAAAAGCATTTGTACATTTGTCTTTATGTAATTATTGTGCGATATTAATTTGTGGTGCTCTTTATACAATTCTAGGAAACCGATAGAAACGTAATATCAAATCGTTTTATACCACCAGGAAAGCATGATACAAATTATATACCACCCAAAGTTCAAAAACGAAAATATGCATCTGGGCCAGGCGTTAAGGAACAAAGTACAGCTATATTTGTAGGTCGCGACGTATCTTATCCTGAAGAATTGAACGCAATCATACAACCTTTAAGATGTGATCTATGCAAAACTAGTATGAATTCTTTACAAAACGCTAAAGATCATTATGAATCCAAGGCACATGATCGGAATATTACGAATTGGCTAACTAGAAATTATGTAGAAAAAAGTAAGGAGTTTGATTTGTTAAACTAATATGTAGAACCTTATTTATATGTGAATTACTTTTTAGATCTTGAACCGCCAGAAGTGAAGCGCTTTTATAAAAGAGGACCTGCTGGACCAGAAGCATTTCATTGCGATGCTTGTGATCTTAAATTAACTTCGTTAACACATGCCAATCAGCATTATGCGGGTCGTAAACATCGTTTAGTTATTAGTAATATATCGAAACCATCTGGGGCGGGTTTTTACAATGCCGAAGGTAAATGGGTACGAACTGCTACAAAGGTGAGCGGTCAAATTATTAGTCAAGATGGACGTTTCGGCATAGGAGAGTCATTTAGCTCAGAACTCGTAACACAAAATGCATCAGAAACAAAAACAGAAACAGAAAATTTGGAGCTAAAAATAAAAGATTTTACAAACCTAGAAGCACCTTTATCTGTTTCAAGAGATGCAAATCAATATTGTGAAATTTGTAAAATCAATGTAACTTCGCATGCTCAAATGGTCCAGCATTTGGAGGGTCTTAAGCATCGAAAGAAGTTAAATATTATAAATGGTACTGAAAATGAAACGAAGGAAATTACGAATAATGCCAACACAATATTAACACACATAAATGACAAAGAAGATTCAACCACAGATTATTCTATGTACCGTACTCCATCCGGTTCATACTATTGCCAGACATGTAACATAATAATGAGTCACACTTCTGCTCTGCAGCAACATTTAGAGGGAAAAAAACACATTAAGAAATCAGCAGAGGAAAACTTAAAGGTTAAACCTGAATAGCTTTGCTTAACACTCTTTTAAGAAGTTGAGGGAAATACTTAAATTTTAAATTATTTATTTTATTATTAAGACTCATAAGTTTATAATTAATTAAATACGAACATATATATAATACAATAAATTAAATCTTATATTGATATTATTATATTTATACCTTTAGAATAAATCACAATGTAAAATTGTATATAATAACATAGTAATGTAACTCATATAAAAAAAATCATTTTATTAATCATATTTAATAAAAATCAAAATAAACCCATATAAATATGTTGTTGATGTACACAAATATGAAAGAACTATAATGTATATAATGTCAGATGTATGTCAGATGTCAATTAATTGAAAAAGATATAGTGAAGCTCAAGCCACTAATGTTGAATCCTGAAGAACTCAGAACTTAATTGCAGTATTTCAATAATGCAATCAGTGTCAAATGAGTCTTTTTTTTTAATTTCTTATTTCTAATTATGTTAGAATTTTTAATGATTTAATTTAAAAATATTAAATCAGGTTTAAATAGCAATACATAGACATATTTATGAGAATTGTTTTAAAAATTAGATACTTTGATTTCTTGGAGTAAAATAATATAAGTCACATTTGGTTAAAGTCAAGATCATTGGTAGGTAGAACAAATAGAATAAAATTACTTACATGTGATTTAAATAACATTTCAAAAGAAGTTTTCATTAGCTAAGTCGTGATTTGATTGGAATTATGAACGTTAGTTTTTCAATGTTTTCGATATATAATATAAATTAAGTCTATTTTCTTAATAATAAATTAAAATGAAATAAGAAAAACCACTTAAAAATATATGATGCACGATCCACATACTTTATAAACAGTATCTTCAATAGCGTCTTTATAATATATACGTCTTGTTGTTGTAGCTCACAAGGATCTCCGAATGGCCTAGTCTATGTCCCGATGCAATTCGTTGAGTTCGGCGACCAGAGGTCATTTAGACGTACATGCAACACATACAGGTACGTGTTTTGAGTATACGTTTGGAAATCATTTGTTTCATATACGACAAAGAGTCACTAACTGAGGTTTCAGCAGGGATTCACTCAATATAAAGATTCAGAATCTTCATTTGGGTGTCAATAACAACAATTAATTATTGAATAATTAATTTATTGAACAAAATGTTCCTCTTATTAAATAAACTAGAAAAGTTCTTTTTTAATATAAATACGTATTTCTGGTGGTAATACATTATAACACATAAAAGTTCCATTTTTATAAAGATATGTATATAATTCATATTGCTTACATGTGTATCTAAAAAAGTGATTAGGAAAAAAAAAATAAAATGAGTTACATTAAATTGCGAAACTCTCTTCCCCTTGCCTAACAACAACAAAGGTGTTTTTTGGAAAAAAATACATACATAAATATTTGGTTATGAGATACATATTTTTCACATCACATTACCTAGTCTATAAAGTTGTATGTACATGGCACATACATATACATATATATTCTTTGTACTAGCAGTGTTGTGTATCTAGGATTTTGATACGAAAGGACTACATACACACATATGTATGTATATATTAATTAAAAATAGTTGGAAAGTTTCAAGAAAAAAAGAAACATACTACCGAAAGGGAAAACGCTGGAATATAACCAGAGGGGGTGATTCAAGAACCGAAGCTACTCTCGAAATTAATTTAATTAATACATATGTATGTATAGGTTAGGTTCGGAAGGCGCGTGCTTACCGTTGTCAGCACTTCCACTCGGAGGCATATATTGCCCATTGTGATGCCCTCAAAAATTTTGCCGGGAGAGGTGAGTTGTTAACCTTTGTAATCCTTGTTAAACCATTTGGTTTTCCAGATGAAGTTAAGGAGATCCGATAAGTTTGCTTTCGTTATCTCTTCCAAGCCAGTGAAAAAGCGATCCTCGAGACATTAAAAATGTATGTATATGTACATATGTATATTTATTAAAGATTTTTTTTAAATTATTGAAATTATCTGAAAGTCCCGAAATATACTTTATAGCTATGGGCCTATAAAACACATAGGATTTTTAATAGTCTTTAGGAAAAATTTAGTGGAGGAAATAAATACAAACTGCAACAAATTTTACAAATGTAAATGGAAACAAAAAAAGGAGTTGTCACCCATCAGTAGAACTTTTCTATTGTACATGGCTTTTCTTTTCTGAAATATAGAGAGGAAATATACTCATTCTATATTTATTTGTGACACCTTCAT